GTTAGAAATAAAGAAAATCGAAGTTAGAAATAAACCAAATAGAAGATAGAAATAAACCAAATAGAAGTTAGAAATAAAGCAAATAGAAGATAGAAATAAAGCAAATAGAAGTTAGAAATAAAGAAAATAGAAGTTAGAAATAAAGAAAATAGAAGTTAGAAGAAAGAGGGGTAGTTGTGGGTTAGAAAGTTAGAAATAAAGAAAATAGAAGTTAGAAGAAAGAGGGGTAGTTGTGGGTTAGAAAGTTAGAAATAAAGCAAATAGAAGTTAGAAATAAAGCAAATAGAAGTTAGAAATAAAGAAAATAGAAGTTAGAAATAAAGCAAATAGAAGTTAGAAATAAAGCAAATAGAAGTTAGAAATAAAGCAAATAGAAGTTAGAAGAAAGAGGGGTAGTTGTGGGTTAGAAAGTTAGAAATAAAGCAAATAGAAGTTAGAAATAAACCAAATAGAAGTTAGAAATAAAGCAAATAGAAGATAGAAATAAAGCAAATAGAAGTTAGAAATAAATCAAATAGAAGTTAGAAATAAACCAAATAGAAGTTAGAAATAAAGCAAATAGAAGATAGAAATAAAGCAAATAGAAGTTAGAAATAAAGCAAATAGAAGTTAGAAATAAATCAAATAGAAGTTAGAAATAAAGCAAATAGAAGTTAGAAATAAAGCAAATAGAAGTTAGAAATAAAGAAAATAGAAGTTAGAAGAAAGAGGGGTAGTTGTGGGTTAGAAAGTTAGAAATAAAGAAAATAGAAGTTAGAAGAAAGAGGGGTAGTTGTGGGTTAGAAAGTTAGAAGAGGGGTAGTTGTGGGTTAGAAAGTTAGAATGCTTGTTAATGTGAAACAATTATTTGTTGTGTGTAATATGAAAGGGCACGTGAAAGTCTGGTGAGATTGAATAAGTCAATTGAACTTACCTGTGTATTGTTTTGACAGTCGAGACAGACACTAGGTTCCGTTGTACTCCGACAATTACTGTGTTTATTACACTGACACTCTACTGAACAATTATCACCGACCCAACCAAAATGACATTTACAACGATCTGGTCGTACACACGTTCCATGATCACAACCCTGGTGACAAACTGGTTCACAGCTTTTACTGCAAATAAATCATAATAATATAATATTGAGAATTACCTTGTAAAGTGGGAGGAGCCTAGCTGTGCTATAACTAGTTTAAATTGAAGTTATAGCACAATATACTCTGTAAATGTGTAGAGAGAGGGGAATGTCTGCAAAGATCATTAGAAATATTCAAAAAAACAGGCTCGAACATTTGAACTCTTTTGGAATATTTATCAATTAGAACATGTTTTAGGTTCTGTTTTAATATCTTTATCCAGTACATCATTTAATCATTAGAACAATTTAAACAAATTTTGGCTATGTCAAGGGCAATAACTCACCCAGTGTATTAAAAAACTAATATGTTTGTTAAATCAAGGGCAATAACTCACCCAGTATGTATGTAGCCTTCTTTACACTGACAGACATAAAATGTTGTTGTATCGATACAGTTCTGTGTTTCTCTATCACAAGAATCATGTTGATTGATACACTCGTTTTCAGGTGGACACTGACCAAACGACCAAGATACAGTATTAGCTCCTGAAATATTTTTATTAAGTAAAGTAGATCCAAATCTAACATTTTCAATATTAACGAGAAGATCATGTATTGAAGAAAGCTGTTATATACTGATTACAATCTAGACTCTAGACCATTAAAAGATTGTCAATTGGTTTACGAGTCTACTATTTCATAGAAAACATGGTGTGTATAATAGTCCACCATCTTGAAGGGACAGTGTATCAGGGAAACTGTTAGCATTGATATGTAAAATTTAAAATTTTTAAGATTTCACTATCGTATTTTGCAAACATGCTGTAACAGAGAAAATAAAAAATACTGACCTATTCCAGGTATATCACTCATATCAATAGATATATTCTCTACACTACATTGTCCACTAGTTGGTTTATGTAGACCCCCTGGTAGACACGCCCCTAATCCATTCTGTCCTTCTAAAGCACACCACCCACATCCTGGCATCGTAACACAGTCGGCACATTTCTTACCCTCGGAACATAACCTAGGACAATGTTCTTCACCCTTCTCTTGTATCACAAAACCACATTCACCAAACGAACAGTGTAGTGGTAGATAGGCTGGGGACATACACTGAAATTACAATAACAATGTAGACTCTCTTAAAGCATGTCATGGAAATATTGATGTAACAAAATAATAAACAATGTGACTCTCTAAAAGAAGAGGGGAATATCAATGTTTTTGTTTGAAACACTAGTAAAAGATTATCTGAACTCTCTGAAAATTATCAATAAATAATAAACCATGTGACACCCTTAAATTAATTGGAATTTTACTTTAG